ATCATCATCATCATCATCATCATCATCATCATCATCATCATCATCATCATCATCATCATCATCATCTTTTCTTTCCATACGCTCATCGAGTGATGATGGCGTGGATCCTGGTGATCCGCCTGGTCCCCGTAGGGACGACCAGCAGCCTTTTCAGCTGAAGGTCTTGTCAAGCAAGCGAGCCGGGTTGTCCCTGGCTCGAGCCGGTTGGCTCCGTCTCAGAGCTATGTGCAAAATGCCAAATTGGCGTAGGCACGGGCGCGGGTGGTCCTCTGTCAGCTCAGTGGTGTAGTAGGGCTGGCGTGCACACCACCTGGTGGGATGGGCTCTCGTGATGAAGTCGACCGCGCATTTCTCTGCCTTCCCAAAGTTCCCTGTGGGGCACTTGAAGATGTGAGTTCATGTCTCGTGGCCAGCTCTTGCACATAATGCATTTCTTAACTAGCCGATGGCAAAGTCCTGGATGGTCAACCAGGATGCCTGCATCCAAGCCACCGATGGCCTGAAGCCATTTGTGGTGCCAATCATCGTTGATGGAAGGGTCGTGGATGATGTTGGTGAGCTTCTCTTCATCTGAAAAAATTGGCGATTCCTCAGTCAGCAGGGAGACTGGTTCCGCCCCTCCATCTGGCATGCAGTTGAGCCATAGAAGGCAGCAGTTTTCCTGCGCCACTAGTGGGACCTTTTCGAACTTCCCTGGCGGGTGGCCGGCGTCGAAGATCCACCAGACCCCACCCTCGAGGACCGCGGTGCAGTAGCGCCCACAGGTTGGCTCTGAGCCAAGATGGTATGACCTCAAAAGGTATGTGGTCGATGCCTTAGAGTCCCACGAGAGGCGAGTTCTACTCTTCCTACCCCTCGAGTCGAAGCGGTCAATGTGGAGGCATGTGACATCTGAGGCCGTGGAGGCCAAAAGAAGCCACGCTCCAATTTGAAATCAGCCCTTGCAAATCAATTGGCAGCAGTGCATTCTTTTGCTCGCTGCAGATGTGGAGGTGCAAGGGGCACCCCAGGGCACTCTGATCCACCACGCGGATTTCCCCATCCTGTTCCAGCCGGGATTCCCAACAACAACTGAGAAAGTTGGGGTTCAGCTGTTGAAGAAGGTAGTGTGCAAAATGGGTGACATCATGTTGTCTAAATGGTTCCGGCCATGTGGACAAAAAGGTGGTCCATTGCCCGTCAGCCCACAGAAGTAGTGGTTCACCCCCTTGTGACACATCTGCAATGGTCTCAAAGACCCCCGGAAAGTTGGACCAATGGTCCTCACTCAGGCTGTCTGCTTCCTTAGCGCACCACACCAGACCAGTGACCACTGAGTTCATGTAGCATGCTGCTGCCGGATTCAACAGTGGCCTCAAGGGACCCAAGCATCTTGCCCAGGTGTTGTGCCAAAGGAGACCGTTGCGTGGAGGCTGGTCTCATCCGTCCCAGAACAAGTTGCCAAAGTCCTGAGTGACTGAGTTGGTGCCATAGCCTTTTCATCTCGTTGGAGTGTGGATTTGTCAGGGCCAAGGCGCTAAGAGCTCATCAAAGTGACCCGTGGCCACCAAGCTATCCAGATCTGGAAAGGTCAGCGAGATCGTTGGGCTCAGAACTTGAAGGTCTAGTCGAAGAGCATGTGCCATAATGAGGTCATCACTGCCGTCCTTGAGTTTTGTTAGGTCATGATGTACAAATAGAGCTAGCTGAGTGAAGACCGTGCAAACGTGGGCCGTGGCAGGAGGCCTAAGGCAGGAGCATCCCAGATTCCTCAGCGAGCCATTCTGGACAGGTGGTGGCCCCCAAGGTGTTTCAGGAGAGAGGCTGAGCTGCGGGATTGGTGCCCACAGAGCCCACAGATGTACCCAAGTCTTCGAACCAAGGACTTGTAGGCCATCAGATGATCAAAAGTACCTCCATGGAGTCCTGAGATGATGAGCGGATGATGCCAAAGAAGAGGGGGATCATCTGGTAGAGGTTCTGGACAATGGCCTCCGTCTACGTGATGCCGTAGTGCAGCCAAGCTGAGAAACTGGGATTGACAGTGAGCAAACTGTGTTTTCCCTGGAGCTTGATCTCTGCCAGCAACAAATGTCTTGGTAGTCGTGGAATGCATATGATCAATTGCCTGATGCTGTTGCAGTCCTGCTGCTGTCACGAATTTCCGAGGACATTGGCCACATTTGAACTGAGCGTCCATTCGTTGTGGAGGTTGAGGAATTGGAGAAGGGCTAGACGGATACTGCTCTCTGTGCTTCCTGTATGCAAGCGCAAGTCCCGGTTGCTTCTTCGCTGGGCATGTGTGTGTCTTGCTGCGAAATTCTTGTTCACAAAGTTCACAGGGAGAAGTTGTCCTGGCTCGAACAACATTTGGGAGAACGTCACCCATCAACGCATAGATGTCCCCATGATCTCGTCCCACGTGTGCGGACATGTGTTGATGTCTGGAAGACCAGAATCCGCAAAGGATGCACCTTTGAGTTAGGAAGTAGCAAAGTCGACGATCTTGTACGAGAGGTTCAAGATCACCACCATCATAGTACTCCAGGAGGCGAGTCCGGAATGCTTGAAGTTGTTCCGGTGGTGCCTTGGATGGATCAAAGTTGGTGCGTGCAAATACGGAAATGTGGTGACGAAAGTTCTGCCAGCTCATGAAGTGTTCTCCACAATGTCTGTCCATCAACTGAATCTCTAGCAATGTCCAATGGTGGGCCGGTGACATGGATAATGCCATGCGTGTACATTTCATCACGTCTGAGAGTATAAAGATGCCGGAATGTTTGTCCACAAGTATTGCAGTCCAATCCAGCCTCTGCCAGCGGAAGGGTAGTGCCTTGTTCGGATGTGCTAAGTTCCTGCAGCCAGGTGTCAACGAGATTGATTGAGCATCGAAGTGTATCAAGATCTAAAGTATGAAGAACATCCATCGAGTGAAGTTGTGGAAGTCTGGCCTCATGCCTTTCAAGTTGAGAGGCCATCCGCTCCCGCAGCACAACGACCGGATGTTGAAGGTGGTGCTCCAAAAGAAAGGCATTGTGAGACGTGTGTGTCTGAAATGAGTGATCTCCTGCTGCCTGTCTCAGCATGGTTATCATAGTCTTGGAAAAAAGTGGAATGGCTGTGCTGTCTGTTCCAGTTGCATCCAGTCCATAAATTCCAACGGGTAAAACGCATGATTGCCATAGAGCCACCTTCTGAGCCGCGTGCGTGGAGTTCTTGGTGAACCAACGATGCATTTGTTTGAATCGAAGTTTGCTTGCTTGAAGTCGAACCTTCATGGTGTCACGCTGAAATTTGAAATATCCCGTTTGGATTCCAAGATATTCGTGCTTCTCTTTGATTGGGGTTTCTTGAAGATTCCCATCCTCCGTTGGAATCCGCAGGACTTGATGATCCAGCTTCCTTTTCACATGCTGCTCCCTTGCTTGTTGGTGTTTTGATCCACCCCAGCGCAGGATGACTGCAGATTTCTGCATGTTCACGGTCACGCCGAGCTTTTCCAAGGTTGTGATGAGCTTCCCAAAACAAAACAATCCATGTTGAAGTCCAGCGAAATCATGAAGAATAAAACAGGCATGTCCGTCGTTAAAAGGTACAGCAGTTTCTCATCCAGCTGATGGAGGTCTCTGCCGCCACTCTGTTGAGAACCAATGCGATAAAGCATGCCCAAAAGTAGGGCGCACCTCGACAGCCTTGTCTCACCCCCCTATGAGTTGCTTGCTCTGCAGAAAGTCCTTTCCATTGAGCCACGTAGGAGGTTTCTGTATGCCAGCTCAAAAGAAGTGCTGAGAGGTCACTGGGGAGGCCTAGAAGACAAAAGGCTTCTTGAAGGTGTTCCCTAGGCATGGCGTCAAAGGCGCCCATCATGTCAAGAAACAGTTGACGCCCGCCGAAAACCAGGTTTTTTTTTCGTCCCTGGTGTCTTGACTTGACCAGCTTCATATCTCCATTGGTGATGAAGTCCTTGAACCGCCTTGACATGGGCTTGCACCCATGGTGATGGCTTCCCATGTTCCCCGCCCTGGAAGGTAGGAGAATTGGGGAAGCCAAGTCATGGCAGTGAAAGTGTGTCTTTTGGCTTCGTGCGCAAACATAGACATGATCGTCTTCGAAAGCGGGGTCTGCAGTGCAATCGGTCGAAGAGCTTTGGGTTCGGTGGACTTTTTGTTGGGCTTGGGAGGAAGAACAACCCAGCCTTTGCGCCATTCTCGTGAAATGTGTCCTTCTGCCATCCATTGTGGAAGCCAGGCAAAAAGCAAAGTGCCCAGCTCCTCGGCCACGGATTTCCAGATCAAACTTGGAGCTACATGAGCAGGTACACTAGTCTGTCCATAGAGGGATCTCAGTGCTTTGGTCAGATCTTCAAGTCCAAATGGAAGGAAGTGCCAGAAGATAAAAGTGAACACCCTCAAGGTCTTTCCCTGCAAAGACCTCTGCCATGTGTTCTGTGATCCATTTCAGTTCTTCTTCTGGTGACATAAGTTGTCCTTCTGACTTTCTAAGCTGAGGACGAGGAGGTCGGTGCTTGGGGGTCAGGGAGTTGACCAGCTTGAAGTAGCGAAGAGAGTCGTTGTTGGACCAAGCAGCTTTGGTGGCTTCTCGTTTCCATCGGTGAACCCGAGTCACGCGGACCCAGTTGCCAAATATCTTCTCCAGCATGGAGGAGAAGTGTTCTCGACGAGCAACTTCAGGAAGATAAAGACTTCCCATTGAAGAGGCCCAAGTCCAATAGTTTGCTGGCTTGGACTTGTCCGAACAGTCCATGGTGAAGGCAGGCATCCATGATGGTTTTGTTGAGGACGTCAAGGTCCGGAGCATGTTCTCGGAGAGCATCCAATTGAGTTCCCAGGTTTTGGCGCCAGTTGAGCCATTCAGAGC